TAGTTGCACAGCAGAACTGAGAGAAAGGTACAGAAATTTCCCAAATAGTCTTGTCCATCCTCCACCTCCTACCATAGGCACAGTATCCCCATTACAATTTCCCAAGAGAGGTGTATTTGTTACAGCTCATGACTCTACTTGTATGCATCAGATTCCCTAAGGTGCAAAGTTCACAGCATACAATGAGGTTCACGTGAGCCGCTGTACATTCTATAGGTCTGGAAAAATACAGAATGGCATGCATCTCTCTGCATGCCATCATAAAAGTATTTTCACAAGCCCTAAAATTTCTCTTCTGTGACTACTCATCTGTCTCCCTCACACACTGATTTCTTTTTAAAGAAAGTGAAAAAATATTTTTACTGATTGTCAGTTTGTGTGGTGCGGAGATGAAAACAACAGCTTTCAGAAAAAGAATTTGACATATCAAAAGGCAATTCAAGAAGTGTGAGCTTTTGCAGTGATAAATCTGGGTGCTCTGTAATGTTTCCTAAAAGTATATAAAATACTACACTTGCAACTTTATTCTACAGCCTGTTTATGCTACTTTGTATCTTCTGCTCTATGCATCAGTATATATGCTTATTTCCTTACCTACATACAAAAATGCTACATGCGCCACTTGAAATCCAATATGCCCAATAAACGTATGGGAATACTTTAAGATTTTGTGGAAAATGGAATTAAATGATAAATTCAGGAGTGAGTGCTGGCCAAGTGGTTAAGCCAATGTTGGAAATTCTTTCAGCCCTCATCAGAACATCTCCTTGTGAGCCCCAACTCCACTCCAGATGCCAGCCCCCTGGGGAGAGCACTATACAAAGCAGCTTGCGGTGGATCCAGAGCCAAGATTTCTCAGCTCCTGGCTTCTCCCCTGTAGGGGGTCACTGATGGAATTTGTGGAATCAATCAACTCGTGGGATACAACAATCTCATTCTCTCTGTGAAGCTCAAATAATTAAAATGTTCATAAAAGGAAGTTATTTTTTGTGCAAGAAATGTGTTTGGTATAAAAATATATACAGTCCATGCATAAATACACTTATTTAGCCCTGCATAAAAAAGTATTGAAGACAATCTCAAGCTAATCATAATAGCAATATGTCACCTACTTACAAAAGAATGCTGCAACAGATCAATTATGCTAACTGCAGAACTGATATTTAATTTAGTTTATAAACCTGTGTTGTCACTAATTTCATATTCCTCATTGTAATCTTGAATTTCAAAGAAAAATATCTTTTCATCACAGATTATTGAGAAAATCACATATTTCAGCGCTGCTATGTGATATTAGCATGAATAATAAATACTAAGAATGTAGAAAGCCAAATTAATCAATTGCTCTGCATTTTAAAGATTATTCATCTTTGTTTCCTAAACTGACCTAATTATATTCAAATCTTCAGATGACCAATCCAGAGGGGTGTGTTTTGAACTGATTTTCTTGGCTGTGTTTTATTACAAGGCCAATGTTTATTTAACTTCAATTAATTTTATCTAACTGCAGCTAATCGGGCATCAACCTCAAGCACTGTGATAGGAGATGCTGGAGTTGCAGGTGGCAGCTTAACACATGATACCCCAACCTGAGCAATACACAAATTTTTACTTCGTGTAAGTATTATTTTTCATATAAAATAATGAATGTTTATCAGAAACAAGATGCTTTTCTCAAGTTATTCTCAAAATATAACTTTCACCTAACCCAGGAATTAAACTTTCTAATTGTTTCTTTACATTCCTATATTATTTGCATTGCATCATTATTCTTACATTATTCTTCTTACATTTTCAGTGAAGACTAGAATCAAATGATCACTAAGTATCAATTTATCTGCAGCAAGAGGCAAAATTCTTCACTTGCATCACTTCGTATCTAAAATAATCTTGTTCAAAAGAAAGAGCTCTACTTTATCACCAAATTGAAGAAGGAAAAGTCGACCAATTTTCTAAGGTAAATGAAATTACACAAGAGAGTGACAGATGAGGAAACAGAACTTAGCTACATATCCTGTCTCCCCAGACTCACTCTTTTTTTTTAACTTTTAACTACTTTAATAACTCAGAATAATACTGAAATATGTCTTTCTATATATTAAAATACATACCATATCCTCTAACTTATTTTGTCAGCTTCTTAAAAGAACATGTTACATATAGAAACAAGATATATATATATAATACGTATATATAAGTATGAAATATTCATGGAATTACATTAAAAGATAAATTTATTCTGCTATCAATTTTTTGTAATCCATGCATATGAGGTGTTTTAAAAAATCGCATATGAGGTGTGTTTAAAAAGATGTATGAATTTTAAAAATTTCTTGCAAATTAATTCCATTTCCTTGAATTTTTCTAAATGTGAGTATAATAATATACATGGAAAAATTAAAATGAAAATTATAAAATATTGCACCATAGTGATAAACACAGTTGCTTTACATATGGAAGTCTGACAGCTGTGAAAATTACCCATAGTCGATCTACTGTAGAAAATTATACTCAGTCCTTGCACAACACAATTAGTGTGATTTAAAAATTTTACCATATCTTTTCCCACAGATCTTTAACAGAACTTTTTCTTGCATGTTATTGTTCCTATTTAAAAAAAAATCTCTTTAATTTATATCATGGCTTCCAGCAACTTGACTCTATTTAAAATAGGTTCTATATCTACAAATGTTTATACCACCATGGGTTGTTACACTTCAGCTTAGCAGTACCACTTATATTTACCTTCTTGTTTTAAGAGCATCACAATGATATTCTCTTTGTTTCTTGTAACATTTTTTTTCCACAAGAAATAATACAATATCAAGTTCCCCCGCCAAAAAGTTGCAGTTCCAGACCTCTTCTTTATAAAAGAAGAGTTAAAATAGTGAAAACTTCCTTTCAAAGATTATAAATGTGGCAAAAGCATACACAGCATAACAAGTGTGAGAAAGTTCAGAACTTGTTTAGGAAGATCACTGTGAGTTTTCCCCGTGCTTCTTTTTGGAAAATATTTGTGTTCCCTCCTCTGAAAAATTGTATGCTAAAATCCTAATCTCAAAATAACTCTTTTTCTTGTCTTTTAAATTGCTATATATTTTGGTTCTCTGTTACACTGGGGTTTTGCATATATATCAGTGAAAGAATTAAGCTTCTCTTCAACTTAATGCTGATTTTAGCTGCTTATAATAATTATAAACACCAGATGGAGTTTAGTTGTTTTATTGCTATTATCATTATTTTAACTTTCTTTCCATCAGATTGTAATATTTATTCTGCTACTCCAGAAATTGTAGCACAGCATGATTAAATCAAGCTTAAGATTTGCTCTAAGTAAATAGAATTTGGAGAAGTTAATAATTCCTTAGTAATAAATGTCTAAAAACAATCTAGTTATAAAATAAATAGCTACTTCCTTCTAAATAAATCATTATAGTTTTGTAACAGTTCTCACAAACATTAAAATGTAACAGAAATTTTCTAGTGCAATGTATAATGATTTAATAAAGGAAATCTTTTTGTGCTGTTTACATTTAAAATGGTATTTTATTTCAAAGTGATTCACAGAGGAGTCATTCAGCAATCAACAAAAATATTGGCACTTGTTGAAATGTACACATCTTAAAATGCAAGGGAAAGGCAGTAAATGGTCGATTATTTCATTAAAGCAAAGATAACTAAGACAATTAAGCATTTAGTGAAATTTACACCCTCATTACAACACTACTGGCTTTGAGTCCCAGGTAGATAATAGCTCATAATCCCATTTGGCATAGGGGAACAGTGTATACATAATTTTAGTGGCATCTGGAATGTACTAGAAAATGAGATTCAGTTCCCTATTTCATGACAAAACCAGTGTTCTCCATATTCTCCCAGGGAAGCCAGAGGAACACAGCATCGTGTTTTTAAATGGTGTAAGGGACATTTAAATATACATATAACAAAAACTATCATGGCTCTCTACCTTAGGTCTTCAGATTCCCATTTTAAAAATATCAGGATAGTATGAGTTCTAGATTTACAAGACTCAGGATAAAATCTTAATCCTGCCTACACGAAGTTCGTAAAGTAGCCCAAGTCACTTAAACTTTAGGACTCAGTTTCTTCAGCTAATAAATAGGGATAAATACACTAGCCACTTCCAAGGTTGTTATGAGAAGAGAAATAACTATGATTTCCATATGGTCTTCACTGCAGGGAAATAAGAGAGTTTGATTGTCAGTTCTGGCACCCAATTCTATCTTCTTGTTACTGCATGACACAAATTAGGTCCCGGGCATTCATGTGAGAGACCTGGATGATTCTTGAGTAATAATTTAAGCCTAATCGGAATATTGTAAAAAAATGTAAGAAGCCACTGAGCTTATGCAACAATAATTCAAATGACTTTAAGAACCAATTTTACATACATGGCTAATTCAAATATTTGTGAAAACAAAGATGTTCATTTGGATGCAAAAAAAAAAAACCTTGAAATCTTTACATAGTTTTTCATGATAAACATTTTCTAACACACTTTTGAAGACTGTACCTGTAAGGCTTGTTTGTTCATTTAGTGGCACAAACTTAATTTGCAAATACTCTAACAGTTTTCTCAGCACTAAAAATAAGAGGCACTGTATTAAATAATCTTGTTATCCAAGAACCTTTAACTGCATACACCATCATTTCTGCTACAGATTAAAGATGGCACTGTTGTATTTTCATTATTTGAAATTTTTTTCATCTGTATTTTTATCATGAAGTCCAATGAGTTACCATGGAGTCAGTTTTCAACTAATTCCCAGCTGCTTCACATGGAATCATTTTAGCTGTGCCTTATAAGCAAATGCCAAATATTTTTTAATTAGCATCTACAAATGAACAAGGATCTTTGGTCACTGTATCAAGAACATAATGGAAAATAATGAGAAAGAATATAAATGTATTTAACAAGCATCAACAAATATAAAATGTAAGATACAATTTCAAGAATGAAAAATAATAAGGCACTGTACCTGCTGTAAATCCAGAGTAATTGTCACATAATGGTATTCGATCCCATTCTTAATACTGGGACTCTGCCACCAAGTGTTCTTCCCATCAATGGCATTTGTAATCGGGTGTCTCTCTATTGAGCGATGAATAGCATGCAAAAAGTGGAGAGAGGCCCATGTAATGAATTGAGTTACATCATCGAAGGACAATCAATCAAAACAATCATCCTGTACATATCAACATCAAAATAATATAAAAGAAAAGCCACTGTTATCTTTTTCATCGCATTGTACACAATGGTAGGAAATGGTTAAATTCCTAGGCTACCAGACAAGCTGCAGCCATCAACAAACATGGGCAGCTTCAAAGATAAGGAAAGAAAGTCGGTGTGAAGAAATAATATTGAAATGCAATTGATGTGTCAATCATTCAAAGCACAGGCTCTACTGTTTGAGGCAGCTCAACTAGGCCATCCACTGTGTTAACAAAAACAGAATTCTGAACGAAGGATGGAAGGTATTTGAAGTTGTCTGTCTGACACATTCATTATTACCAAGACTTGGGCCATCCGACACACAACTGCTTTTAATAAAGTGCTGTGAAAATCCATCTTATGAGGCTTTTTGCAACAATTCTTCAGCTTTGCCAATTTTCTTCTATTATTAAAAACTAAATTAATACCAAAGCTCTCTATCATTAACTCTACTCAAAGAATCTGGACAATCATGGCAAGTAGGCAGCAGGGGTGCACGCTTACTCCTGGGAGTTGAGCAGAAAACCTACTGCAACACCTGCCTCACGCTTACTCCTGGGAGTTGAGCAGAAGACCTCCTGCAACACCAAGAGGGCCCAGGAATAAAGACAAGGTGTGGTGAATCACTGCTTGTCCTTTGTTACAGCTACATTCCTTCTTTAAATCTCCCACCCCGCAGACCCCCAACTCCCTCAACGTAGCTCAACAAAAGTCAACAGAAAGCAGATGCACCCTCATGACTACAGTATATTTTGGTTTCCAGTCACTGGTTCTTATTTTAAATCTTTGCTTTCCATCCTCCAACACAACTTCTGATCCCTTTCTACTCTTTAAACAGCTCCAATCGTGGATGAAACCTACAAGGGCCAGCGGTTGTTGATATCCTCAGATAAGCGGTAAGGAATCGATCTTCTTACACTCTCACCTGAACGTGTACATGTTTGTCTATGGAAATCGAAGCCAAGGAGAGGGGTGAGTTTCTCAGGAATTCTTCTATTCTTTAAGTCTACTTTGAAATGTGAATTGGTGACTACTTATGTGACTACTTATCTGGGAATATTTTAGATGAATGCCCTATAAATTATTAATTTGTTTATAATCATGAATAATTAATTTATTAATAATTACTAATAATTATTAGATTATTAATTATAAATTATTGATATCAGAATGTCTCATCTAATGAAAGAATCACACTACACAAAGCAATCCTGTACCCTGTGTGCCTTAATGCGGGAGAAACTCAACCATGAATCCTAAGGATGATGACTCAGTAAGAGGAGCTTGCATCTGAGAAGCAAGATACTTCTCCTAGATCCAATATTAGTGCTTAACTGACCCAGGACAAGTCATTTAATGCATGTGTTTATCACTGAAATCGGGATAACAAAAATCCACTCAGATCAGTAGCTTCCAGGTTTATAACTTTCAGAAGGAAAAGTAAAATTTCAAAAAAATTGCATCTGAGACTCTTGTGAAATTGATGAGATCTAGCTTTGCATTTTTCTGAGTAACAGCAAGCCGCAACTTATCTCTGCTATCACTACACTATAAACTATTTCATAAAATTAAGAACATTTGAAAACCAAAAAAACAAAAAATAAGATACTAAAATACAAGAAAATTCTATAAGACATAGTCCCCTCTGTTTTGTTGAAAACTATAGAATTTTCCCCTCATTTGTCACACATTAGTGATGGGAACTTTTGATTCACAGGATTAACTTTAAACATTAGAACCACTGATAATATAACCACCTTTACACAAATACCTCAATTATGCATGTTCAAAATGTACACTGTTCTGAATCAAAGAAAAACGCAATAAAATATCTAAATGGGCAGTCACTGTGCCGATGTCCCATATGGGTGCTGCTTCAAGTCACAGCTGCCCTACTTCAATCCAACTCTCTGGTAATGTGCCTAAGGGCAGAAAAAATCAGGAGCTAGCCCAAGTGCTTGGGTTTCTCTGCCCAAATGGGAGAGCCAGAAGAAACCTTGGACTCCGGCTTTGGCCTGGTCCCCGCCCAGGTCAGCCACTGTGAGAATGAACCAGTGGAAGCAATGTTCTTCCTCTCCTCTCCCCTCGCTTCCCCTCTCCCCTCGCGTCCCCTCTCCTCTGCATCTTCTCTTCTTCCTCTTCCACTCTTTGTGTAACTTTCAGATAAATAAATTTTAAAGATTATGAACAAAACCCAAGCAAAATTAATTGCTTCCTGCCATAATAGCATGATTGCAAAGTAGAAATTCATATAAAAACTGAATATTTATTAATTTGTCATTTTCAAATTTGTGTTTTATCATATATTAACTTTATTTAAGCAATTAATTGTAACCTATAGCCAAAAACATAAAGGGTATGACCATGTTTCTAGCAGTCTTACATCAAATTTTCAAAAATGGATATACATTTTCCAGCATCTGCGTATATATAGAACAGAATGAAAATATTGCATTTTTTGGTAAAATTTTAAATAATTAGGTAGACTTTATTTATTATCACTTTGTCTACTGGGATGAACTTCCTAAATATATTTAATAATTATCACTAGTTCAATTCAGTTGGAGATGCAGAAGAAGACAGGTCTTTATAATAACAGAAAATATAGAAGCACAAATGAACATGAAATAAAAGCCCCTGGTGGTATGAGTGGGTGCCAAAATTGGCACATTAAGAATCAGAGCTGTAAGTGAAATGCTGCTGGAATTGTTTCTTAGGAAAACAAAACAAATATCACAAAAAGCATTCTCTTGAATCATCACTACAGATTGTGGGTTTAATGGATGATAGAAAAATATACATACGATCTGACATTTCCAAATCAAATTTATGTCTCTTAGATAATAGTGAGAGACATTGTCTGATTGGAAATCTGATATGGGCCACCTCGGGTGAAGCTGACAGGAAAATTAGTCATGAAAAGGAGGGCTGGGGGATGAATCAACAATTAGAAATGAAATTTAATCATCATTAATTTGTAAATACTGATTTAATGTTGGCATATCTCCCTTATTTAAAAAGAGATAAAACTGTGCAACATCCCTGACAAGCATAACTATGCAAATCAACCCATGGGCTAATGGCATCTGGAAATTGGCTAGGGAATCCTTGAGGTAAACTTCTCATACTGCTAGTTTTTAATTGAAAGCATAAACTGCTAGCAATCACAAAGTTCACCTTGCTTTTTCGTTGCATGGATAATTAAGCACAGACCTTCTCGCCTTATTCTAGAAGTTCACTGAATTTTTGTATCTTTATCATCTGTTGGGTTTAACACATTTATCTCTTTTATTGCTCAATTTTTATTCTTATGTGGTTTTGTTCTTTCAAAACAGCTAGTATCAAAACATGATTTAGGAGCAATGCAAGGAAGCTAGCCATTTAAAAATGAGGTTAGCTGCACAAAATAAGCCCCGTTTGTGACAAGTTTAAAAATACCAGTAATCAGAAATGTAGAAATACAAAGCACACTCCATACATGTCTTTTGTTACTGAAACCAATTATTCTATTTTGGACACATTGTGAAAACATCAGTGACATTTGTTACACACTGAAGTCTTCCAGGAGACATAGAGACCTTAGTAGCAAACTTTGAAGAACAGAAGGGACAATGCAGCTTTTGGACACACTCAGCTTGCCAAACGCATTTCATCTATATTTCCATGCAAATCTATAATTATTTTATGCATTTATTACTTCATCTTCTTCCCATCTCTAGAATTACATGCATTTGTTTCTCTCCTTTCCTGTAGTTCCAAGCATGCGTTTATTCATATTCTACTTACACATGAAAATGTATCTATATAGTCTATATTTAAAACTATATGCTATCTGTAAGCACATGCACACACATAAACACACAATTCATAACCATATGTAAACATATATGCATCTACATGAATACTCACAAATGCAAGGACACGCATGGTTTTACAATCTTTCTTCTCTTACTCTCCCTCTCCATCCAGCCCATCCCTAGCCACACAGCTACACTCTCACTTCCCTCCTCCACCAACATGTCCATGCCTTCTGGCTTATTCATATTCTCCATCAAAAAAAACAGAAACACCAGTCCCTGCACCAGTGAAAGTATCACTCCACAAGGGCTCGTTTTCTTCCTTAAAATCATAATCTCTTTGTTCATTTGGACTTTGGCCCTGCTTCGGTTTCCATCCCACTTGATTCTTCCACTAACCTTCTCATAGTCCTCAATGGGTATCAGTCAAAAATCTATCTGTTTTAACTTAGTCATATTCTCACTTTACTGTAGCTCACCAATCTACTCTTATTTCCTTAAGAGGTAAATCCAAAAACTTTCTTCCTTGAACACAATATCCTGAAAATGCCAGGCTCATTTTCTCCAGGTTCTCTACTTGCTAAGCAAAATAACTCAAGTACTCAGAATGTATCACTCTTTCACATCTTCACAGTGTGTGTGTGCTCTGCTTTTCACATTGAACTTCCTCCCTTTGGCTATATCATCAATGTGTTCTCTTAGCCTGAATGCCATTTTCTCCAAAGAAATTGTGTAATCTCAGCATCTTCTCCAAATTCCTTTTCTACCCCCCGCTATTTCCTAATCACTTAAGTATAGGACTATGTAAAACCTGACACTGTTCTAGTGCAATGCCTTTCTAATACAATGTCTTCAAATACTTCTGGCATACATCCATGAATGGGTCTAAGTCATCAAGGTGGCTTTTCAAAACATCCTTAAACTGGTTTCACCCTTCTGTGAGTGATTCTGCTCCGACCTCTACTTTATGGTACTTTCAGTTTGTTTGCATTTTCCTGAGCAAGTGATTTTTTTTTTCAATGAATGCTGATGTGCTGCTGGTATTCTTTGCTTTGCTAACCTTATTCTCCTCTGCTCAGTTTGTAGGAAAGGGGTACAAAAACACCCAAGAAAACAGAAGTGTTTGGATGCAAAGAGACCTTGAGACACAGCAGGGATGGCTCACATAATTAGGTGCATACCAGGTGTATTTCTGGACCCTGGTTGTGACTTGGCTCAATTGTGCAATGTCCTGGAATCGAGATATGCCCTGGTCCAGCCACAGGGACACTTGGGAAATTAATCAGCAGACAGGTAGCTCTGTGTTTTTTGTCTGTGACTCTTTTTTCAACCTAAATGGATATATGCTTAATTTTAAGGAAAAAAAAAAGCTTTAAAATCATGCTTGTTTTCATAACATTCATTCTCCATGAACTTCCTGAAGTGCATTTGTACTTGTCCTTGGTTGTTAGCCTATGTGTTACCTCTATTAGGAAGCCTTTGTTTACTTCCACCAACACTGGCTTTATGTTGTCAAGTCGGGAGTCCATGCTCATTTCTTCCACTCTACCTACCACACTATAGAGAAACAGTTGGTTTCTTTTCCCTTTTCCTCAATAGTCAAATCTAAGGACCACACCTAACTTCTTGAGTATCATATACAGTATCTGGGACATGAACTGAAGCCTACTACTTTGTCAAATAGCAGGATGGAGCGAGTCACACTAAGGTTGCAATAGGTTTTCAGCAGAGAATTTTTTGGAGATCACTATGGGTGACACATGTAAAAAAATTCTAGTGTTGTAATGTCAATTGAATAAAGGAGTGAGAATGACTGTGAAAAGGATTCAGAATCTAAGATAAGTTCTAGGCAATCTCAGGATCACGGGTCCTTAAATTTGATGCAAGTTAGGCCTCCAAATAACTCAGATCCCAGCCAGTGATTTACAATTACATGCTGAAATACATACGGTATGGATTGCTGCTGTTTTGATTGCAGATTCGGCATTGTGGGTTCCTCACAGGCTGCCCTGGGACATGCTCTACCAACTTGCAATACATTTCTGGTCCCTTTTCTCCACATGTTGCATTGGTTGTGATGAGAGCATTTGATGCAAGATTCAGGACGGCAGGGAACAAGCCTGAAAAAGATGGACAAATAAAGGCTTGTCAGCTAGACACAAAGATATAATCTTCCTGTTTCAAAATGCAATTAAGATAATTTTTTCATTAATTCAAATTAATCTATAATTACCTAACTAGTCGTAATGCCCGAGTTGATTAAGTATGTCACATAGATACTATATATTATTCAAACAACATTTTATTATTTCTGTCACCTTTAAATACAGAGGATAAGGATGTCTCCTCAAATTGAATATTTAATTTGACAGAAATTCTTGTCTCTAACGGAGATTTAAATGTATCTCCTGAGCACATTATACGTAAAGATGTTTCAGAATCCCTCCTTTGTCATAAAATAGACACCTATTTATGTCTAATATTAAACCGCACTCAAGTGTAAAGTTTCCGTAACTACTTATCTACATTTTATGGTGATTGAAAATACCAACTACAATTTAATATAAATACTTGTTAGTACCCCTTTATATTCATGCTAAGGAATACAGATACTGATGAAAAAATTTTTGAAAGCCGTTCTTCACAGTCATGTTATACATCAATATCTTGCCAGAACAAAGTCTTCATAAGAGTTAATGATCATGACCCAGACATTAATTACTTCTCAGACAAAAGAAACATGTTTGACTTTCATAGCTGAAATCTCTCAGAGGCCCATCTCAGAATAAGGCCAGGGAGGTTCTTGTTTCCATTTGGGAACACATGTCAGGCACTTTGTTTCCCAAAACTTAATCCTTAATTCTGTCTCATGCTTGTCTACTGTTTATTTTGCAAGTCAATGACTACTAAGGACATTCTAACAGAAAGTGCACTTGAGCCTTCTAATAATTTGAGTTACTGAAGAACATGTGCCAAACACATGTACATCTATTCAACTTCTGATAGAAAATCCTTTTTAACACTTGTAGCCTGATCAATATTTTAGTAAAATTTTGAATATTGTGTTTTGAGGTATTTTCTCCTTTCCTTTATTTTCAACACTTGACACAGACTGGAGACGAAACAGTCATCCAGTACTTCTATAAAATGAATGAATAAATGAATTGTAAATATTGGCTGTGTGAATATGGTGAAGTATTATCAGCCTATATGATGGTGATGGTAATGTATTTGCTGGTGAGAGCTGGGCCTGGGGATAGGTTGGGCTGAGCAAGTCTGTAGCACCTGTTGGCAAATGCCAAGACTAGGGGCAGGCCATCTTAGCTTGGACACAGCACCTGCTGGCATACGCATGACCTGGAGCTGGGAACAGGTCTGATGGTCAGCACTGTGGAATATTTGTAACAACCCAGGCACTACTTGTTCTTGCAATTTTACTTATGAATCTTTTCCACAAAGCACACCCGTTTCTATAATAATTCTTGGTGGCTGACATTAACCTCTTTAATTTGCATTTACTTCATTTCAGTAACTAATATAAACCGAGACATCAACAAAGGCTCCTGAATAATCAGCAGTATTAACCTTCATCAAGGTAAACTGACAGGTGGGTCAGTTAATACCACAACATGCCTGAAGTGATGTCTTCAACTGCTGATGGAAAAGTGACATTCTGTGTGGTTGATGGTTGCTGTGTATTAATCACATATTTTTAAATGAAAAAAAAAAATCAATGGAGATTTACTACAGATTTACTACATTTATGTTTTTGAACTTTTTTAAGCACAAAATTGCAATCAAATTTTGTAAAATGTTACCCTACCATTCCACATTTTCTATAAGCAGCTTTTATAAACAAAGGGAAATGAAACACTTGCATAAAGAGCTCATTTTGGGGCCCGGCATAATAGCCTAGCTGCTAAAGTCCTCCCCTTGCATGCATCAGGATTCCCTATGGGCACTGGTTCTAATCCCGGCAGCCCCGCTTCCCATCCAGGCCCCTGCTTATGGTCTGGGAAAGCATCGAGGAAGGCCCAAAGCCTTGGGACCCTGCACCTGCACTGGAAACCTGGAGGAAGTTCCTGGCTCCTGGCTTCGGAATGGCTCAGCTCCAGCCATTCTGGTCTGTTGGAGAGTGACTCAATGGACAGAAGATCTTCCTCTCTCTCTCTCCACCTCTCTGTATATCTAATAAAAATAAATCTTAAAAATGTATTTTTAAAAATGCTAATTTTGCTAACATTGTTCTATCCTTCTCTTCATGGAAAAATTTGTTTCTGAAAATATCCTTGAGATACGCTAATACTACCTTTACTCATGTAAAGGCTACTCATGTAAAAGTTGAGATAAAAGTTTATTTTTATGTAAAAATGAAATTTATACATAATTAAACAGCATAATGCCATTTTCTGTGAAGGATATGAAGATTTATCTCAGCATGAATTCTAGATATATTTGCACTTAGTTTTTTTAAAAAAATCTGTTTCTACCTTCTTGGTTTTTCTGAATTAACTTATTTTCATTTCATCTGAAAAGCAGAGAGAATGTGCACTTTCTGACTTAGTCACCAAACTCCTACAGCAGCCACAATGGACCGGGGCAATGACAAGTGTCTGGAACTCAGCTTGAGTCTTACACATGAATGCTAGGACTCCTTGTGCTTCCATCATCATCTGCCACCTGCAGCTGCGCATGAGCCACAAAGGGAAACCAAAGCCCAACCGAGCCTCAAATTAAGCATTCAGATTCGAGTTGCAAATGTTCCAGGCAGCATGTTAACTGCTGTGTAGAATACTCACTCCAGTTTCCACAAACTTATTGAGGTACTTGTATTTTATTAAGGCAACACACAGCTGTTAAGTAACTCACCCCAATTACAACTATCAAGTAGAAGAGCTGTTATGTGAGCCTTAGTAATCTGATTCAAAGATTCGCTTGATCAATATGTTGATACAGCTCTACTGTTGCATGAGACATACATACATTTGTGAGAATTTGTGAACATGCTGCATTTGTATCAAAAACAATAAAAGGAAAATCAAGGAGCAAGTGCTTTCATGGTATTTGACGATTAGACTTCTATGTGTTTGTATTAGACAATACATTTTTACAAACTATATAGTACAAAGAATAATTTTAAACAATTTGAGTCTTTAGTAACTTTCAAAATGTTTAGAGGTAAGTAAATTCGTACAGCCAGGTGAAACCTCAACTGTCACCCAGTCACGCACTTGACCTTCCAAACAGCTGCAGTCAAACCATCCTGATTTATCAAACACAAGGGCATGTTGTTACCTGTTTGTAATTACAGCTTTTCCTTTCTTATGTATTTACCTTCTTCCTAATCTTCCTAAAATGTCTGTGTCCTACCCCCACTGTGAATTATGCCAGTTAAATGATCATTCATCAGAGAAATGGGAGGCATTCGTAAGACTTTTATAAGAAAACATAGAATATTTCATAAACACAAATTAGAACATAAAAGCTGTTTATTACCTTTCTAATATTTTCTATTCATGTAAGACTTAAGTCTGTCATTGTAGCAACATTAAAAATGTGTAGTCACCAGTGCATTATTTACCTTTATTAGATATTTTGTTCTCTAGGTGAGTGTGTGGCAGATAATTACATGCATGGTGATTGTCTCCATGTTTCTCTTTTGTCATGTGTCATCATTTTAAACAAATATTTTGTCATCAAACATATTTTCATCACATAATATGATAAACAGTAAGATTTGAGAACAAAGATTATGCAGGCCAGCACCAGCACTGTGACCCAGTAGGTAAAAGCTGCTGAGCTCATGTCTACATCTCACCTTGTAGTGCTAGGACGAGACCCAGCGGCTTAGCTTCTAGCACCTCTCTGCTCATGAATCTCAGAGCAGCAGATGGCCCAAGAAGTGGGGACCTCCCACTCAGGTGGCAGGCCCAGAGTTCCAGGCTCCCGGCTTCAGCAAGCCTGGTCAGTCAGTCTTATCTAGACTGGCCACTTGGAACGTGAAACAGCAGATGAAAGATCTCTTTTCTCTCCCCCTCACTCTGCTATCCTCATAGTGTCATTCAAATAAGTAAACCTTTCCTTAAAATGATTAAGAGTGAATTGTTGGGTACAGCGTGATTGCTTTGTGGCCAAATGCTCACCTTTGTTGCATCGGGATCTCACAAAGGTGCCAGATCATGAGCTGGCATGCTTATGGCCCTGGACAGCAGCAGAGGATGAACCAAAGCCTTGGGACCCTGCAGCTTCATGGGAGACCCAGAAGAAGCTCTGGGCTCCTGGCTTCAGATCAGCCCTGTCCGTTGAGGCCTCTTATGAAATGAATCAGTGCGTGAAAGATCTTTCTCCTATCTCTCCTTTTCTCTGTAAATCTACCTTTCTAACAAAAATAAACAGCCTGTGAGTATGGACTTCAAAGTTATAGTATTTGTAACTGTTCTAACATACAGGATTATGGAATTGTATAAAGACTCTGATAATAGATGCAGATTACATATAGCCTGTACGTCACGGTTCACATATTTATTAACACATACCTATTTGTTAATGTTAGTAATTTTAGTTTGTGTTCCCCATGTCTCAGAAAAATTTTACTCTGTAGTATAGAGAAATAGGTAGAAGGGAGGGAGGAAGAGCCACCAGGTATTCTGTTTTCAGGAGGCCACATATCTGGTGCGTCGGTGACAGATACGACGAGTTATGGAGTAAAGCCACACAGAGCCCTTGAAAGAGCCAGTTACCATGTACAAGGCATGTCCACTTACCGGCATCTCTAGCACTTCCTCCAAACACTGCACTTCTTATTCAGTACCTGCTGTGTCTGCTTTCATTAGGTAGTTACTCCAACCTTGACCATGTCCTTAGCTCCGCATATACAATAATCCTGTTTGACCCTGACATGGTACAATCAGTCCTATAGAATCTGCCTTGCGCTGGTCATTTCTAATCATGGAAGGAAGCCAAGAAGTGATATATCAAGATAACAGGAAACATTATTTTTACAGCATATAATTGAGTTACGTATGGATTTGGGCCATGGGATTAACTGAATTAAAAGTCAGGAAAAATGGTAGAGGCATAAGAGGATTCCAGACATGGAAGCAGTACTAATCCAGAACCTATTTAATATTCTTCATTTGACCCAAATTAATCACACAAATAATTCAACTGTGTTTTAGTAATTGCACTTTTATAGCAAAGAAGCATACCATTCAGAGAAGATAAACAAGAGCCCTAGAATTAGGATTGATTATATGAGTTAAACTCAGTCGTTTGAGAAACTCAGAAGACTGCACCAAGGCAGGAAGAGAAACCAGAGACTGTAAGTTGGCAAAACTTTTAAATTTACACATTAAATGATATAACTTACCCACTAACGAACGCTTTTACTGTTGCACAAAACCAAAGGTGTTAATAAAATTTACATTTAGCATCTTTGGATTCCTTCCAATGATTTGTTTCATTACACTTATTGATCATAGAGTCAAAATTAACCTTTTCACAATCTAAATGCCTTGCTTTGTGGCCAGGGAACAATTACTTTATGAAATCATCAATTTGCCATTTTTTTTAATTAGCAAAGTTTATTATTCACAGAAAGTCCCCAATTAGTTGCTAACAGCCAAGGTGAAGAATTAGTCAATATATGAGCTTTTATTGAATCTTCAACAGGCTGCATTATAGATTACACCCCATTTTTATTACATAATGGCACCTATTTATTCCCATTCAAAAACATGAGAATAGGCCCCGATGCAGTGGCCTAGAGTTTGAAGTTCTCACCTTACACATGCTGAGATACCATATGGACACCAGTTCCAAGCCCGGCTGCCCTACTTCCCATCTAGCTTCCGGCTTGTGGCCTGGGAAACCAGTCAAGGATGACCTAAAGCCTTGGAACCCTGCACCCACATGGGGGACCCGGAAGAGGCTCCAGGCTCCTAGTTTCAGTGCCGCTCAGCTTTGGCTGTTGCAGCCACTTGGAGAGTGAATCAATAGACAAAAGATCTTCCTCTCTGTCTCTTCTCTGTGTATCTGACCTTACAATATGAATCAATCTTTTTTTTTTTTTTTGTAAAAGCACTAGAATAGTATTTACAGCTATGTTCAATATGGGCTAGTTGGTTACAATATTAGGAGTGTGAATCTTTAGGAGTATAAATGAATAAACATCTCTAGAATACTGAGGACCACAATGTTAATGACGTAAAAGCCAGTGATCATTATCAATGTAACTATGATTGACAAATTGAATGGTATCTAAAGCAAGTAAGTCTGGTTGAATTTACAGTATTAAGAAACAAGCTTTTAACAAAAACAATGATTTATCTAATAAATAGCACATATTTTCTTAGAGACTAAGCTGTGTGTGTGTATATACCCCATAGCTAGAATTATATATACTATATAACATATAGCATAACATATAAACACATGGATATTAAGTAGACACATAGAAAGCCTAAGTCCATATCATATGAAAACCGAAATTCTGTTATAATACGGAAAAAATATATAGAAACTTCACCTACTATTCCCTTTGTCATTTAGAAGGTTTTAAATTATATTTGCTTAACAAATAACGTAGCATGTTCACACATATTAACATAATTTTGAAGATTTGCCTTTTCTAAATCACAGTTTTCAAAGGTGGAAGCATTTTAAGATGTACTTATGGAAGGATCTTTTCCAGTCATAGCTGAGTAGTTTTACTAAAGCAAAAGTCCCATTGATAATAGTTATAAATAAGAAAAACAAATAACTAGAGAGAAACAGAGAGAGGTAAGCCAAGAGAAATGTATATGTGTAAGAGGGGTGGAAGACATTTTTCTCCTGAGGGTCATTTAAAAGTTATTAATATCATTTGCAGACAATACAAAATTAACATAAACTCTTCCTGTTATAGATTGACTGAATTTCAAGTTCACTTGTATCTGTCTTGGCAAGTCTAGACCAAATGGTTTTGCAGGCCTTATAGCTTATGGGTCACACTTCCTTCCCCACTGGTGAAGGAAAACACCCTAATGATCCACTCACCATGGAATGGCTAACATTCAAACAGCAACACAAGGTTCTACTGCTGGAAGACCCAGAGAGCAGAACTGAAGACAGCCACCTCTATCGCGAAGCTAGAGCAATACTTTAATAGTCAAGAAAGAGACTCAAAATTCATGGGCAAACTCTGCATATCCTTGGACAAAATCCAAGTGTCTCAGCTAATACGGAAGAACTGAAGAGAGATTAAAGTTGCTACCCTCCGCAGGGAGGATAAAATTTTGGAGTTTTAACCCTGAGAAGTGAATCCATTGATAGAATAAGTTAACAAGATGGTTGGATGAATACACCTCATAGGAGCTTAATGGAATTCAGAGTTTCTATAGAATGCCCTGTCTGCTCTCCAAGATTCAGTTTTCAAAAAGGTGCTACATATGAAACAAACAATAAAAAGCAAATATTTGTTAAGGGAAAAGGCAATTAATGGAGAGAAGCATGAGATCTACCAGGTGAGGAATAAGTAAAAATTCCAAGGCGGCTTTTCAAGAGTGTAGCATTAGTGACACAGAAGTAAAAACATAAAATACCTATATTAGAACTGAAAAATGTATTAGAAGGGTCCGGATGAGCAGAAAAATGAAGATGGCAGAAGCACCAATAAACTTGAACCTAAATTTTTACCTCTTGAAATTTTTAACATCCCTGTTAATGTGAAGATAGTTTAAGATGTTTGTGGAAAAAGTGGAAAAGTTTACTTTTGTGAATAGTACTTTGATGTGAAAGTATTTTTCATAATATGGGGAAAAGATGTATCATGAAAAACTATGTATAATTTCAAGATTTTTCTGATGCAAATCAACTCATACCTTTATTTCAATTTTTCCATGAATTGTTTTTTGAAGATTTTATTCAATCATTTAAAAAGTAGAATTACCAAGTGGGCAAAGCAGAGACAGAGAGGTCTTTAGTCCTGTGGTTTGCTCTCCAAATGGCCACAATTCCTGGGGAAGACCTGGCTGAAGGCAGGAGTCCAGAGCTTCCTCAGGGTCTTCCATGGGGTTAGAGGAGTCCAGGAATATGAGCTTTCATCCACAGGAAGCTGGGTCTGAAGTGGAGCAGCCAGGCCTTGAACCAACAATCATATGCGACACCAGCCATTGCAGGTAGCAGATTAAGTGATGCTCCCCTCCCCTCCATAAAAAACTAAACTAAATATGCTTTTACTTAAGGCAGAAATTAGTGTTGCCTCAAAAATATTAGAATGTTCATAGATAAAGTCTAAAGAAATTGGTGCTGGCATTTTGTCACAATGGGCTATCCTGCTGCCTGTGATGCTAACATTCCAATTAATTACCATTCTATATCTGGGTTATTTCTCTTACAAATCAATTTCCTGTCAATGTGACTAAGAAGGTAGCAGAAAACAACCCAACTGCTTGGATCCCTAACACCCACACATGAGACCTGAAGGGAGTTTGGGTTCATGGCTTTGGATGGCCCACTCCATCTGCTAATGGGGAGTAAACCAGTAGATGGAAAATTTCCTTATGCCTCTATCATTCTATATTTGAAATTCTGCCATTCAAAAAAATAAGCATATCTTTTTAAAAAACATCCGTATGACAGTTGAAACAAAGGGATTTTGTACGCAGGAAAGAAAGTGGACTTGTACTTTACATCAAATGGTGTAACATTAAAAAGATTAGAAGAACTGGAATTTAACCACAGTGCTGTTTGGACTGTAAATTAGGATAATCACTTAGATCTTCAGTATGAATTCTTGTGCCTTCTCACCAATAAATACTCAAAAGAAATAAGAGTCCATATCCACAAAAGAAGTAAGAATGTTTACGGAACAAAAAAGAATGTTTATGGAAAC